TTTTGGGTTTTCATGAGCTGTATGCCATAATCATCAGAATTAAAACAATTAAAGACCCAAAATATTTCAGTTGGTGTGCAATGAATCTGAAATATATGAAAGTTTCATTTTTATCATTACATTATGGAAAATAATGACCTTTATCACAATATGCTAATTTTTTGAGAAGGACCTGTACAGTCCACCGTCTGAGCTCCCAAGAAGATCCTTAGTCATTTTCATCAGTACCTTTTCTATACTCTGACTGAAACTCCTCAAATTATTTTGCTAATATATCATAACTTGCTACACTTTTTCTAGACTTTTTAAAAATGAAATTTAAATGGGATTGAATTTGGGTCCATAATTTTACATGTGTTTTTTAAAAATAAAGTTTACACCAAATCTTAAAGCTCGTTGTGGCTAAAGAGAGATGGATCAGATCTAAAATGGAGGTACCGATTGAAGGGAAAACCTCTGAGCAGTTTGGTTGTGATGGAAAAACTAGAAGACACATCGAAGGTTTGGATTAAACAACTGTTTCTGATAACTCACAGGTCAACTGGACTGAATTGTCTGTTGAAGCTGAGATTTTATCCAATGTGTAAATTCTGCCATTTTTTTTAACTGATTAAATCAACTTTGTGATGAAGTCACTGTTCTGTGTCGGTCTGGCCACGGTTCTAAAAAGAAACCTGCGGTCGTTCTTGGTTACTTCAAATAACGATGAATAGTTCTGGCTTTGTGAATGATTTTTACAGCACTGTTTCCACTCATCATCTCCTTGTGGGTTTTCTCAAAGTCTGATTTAAAGTACACAGCTGTGAATTTTACTGAAGATCCAACACATAAACAGAAAAATCAGAACGTTTCTAATCTAAAAGATTATTTTTCTTACAAAAATGTCTTTTCAAACCTGCCACACATGCGTTTTTATTCTTTCCATAATTGTTTGTTTTCGTTTTAAGGATGTTAAAGAGTTTGCAACTTTGCTGGAAAGTTGGAACTCAACACATTTTATTTCAGCTTGGTCAGAGGTTTTTATTATTATTGTTTTTTTTTTGTTTTTTTACTGATTTGTAGAAGGGCAGCAGAATTTTTTTTTCCTGATTATAAACCCACTTGCTGTTTGTGAGGAAGGTGGAAATAACTTCATTAATCCTGATGATTTCTCCTTATAAATATTTGGATTTGAGCTGCTGTTTTCTGTCTCATGCAGAATGATGACACGCATAAGGGAGTGTGCTCAGTTCTGATTTATCCTCACACACACACACACACACACACACACACCGAACAGCTCTCGCTGCCTAAATATGGGCAACAAGTTTTAGGCTGGAGCTCCA